AAAGAGGCAGAGGCAGATCTCTCTGAGATACAGCCTGTTTTACAGAGTTCTAGGACAGCCAGGAGGTCACATGGTAGAGTGATGTTCTCAGAGGAATGACACCCACAGTCACTTGCAGGTTGTGTGCTAGTCCAGCAGCAGCTGGAGATCCAGCACAGGGAAAGCAGCAGCTGGCTTCGAGGGTGGACTTCTCTAGCAGGCCCTGGGTGACATTTGCTGGTGGTGGGGATGGAGATAACTTCACTGCTAAGGAGAAAGAGCAGGAGAGCTTGAATCAGTAGCAGTAGAGTGCTTAGGTGAGCAGGCCAACTGTGAAGGGAACAAAGGCGCAGCATGGGGACATAAAGAGCTGTCATTGTCATTTATAGAGATGATAACATAAATTTATAGGGTTCTGGAAATGATCTGCCTGGGTTTTACTACAAGGAGCTGGGATAGAATATGGGTAGTGGACAAGCTGATGAATGTAGAGTCATGAACATGAGTAAAGCTGTGGCTGAGGGTGATTGTGGTTCTTCAACTTTCTGAAAGGGGGCGGTGTAGGAAGGCCATCCAAAGGTTTGAGGGAAGAGGACATATGTGTTGGAGAAAGGGAATGTGTTCTGAAACCCAGTGGGTGTGTTAATATAATAATTTCATGTGTATAGCATTGCATTACAGTGTGGACATGTGCACAGGGTTTTACGGACTTTCAGAAACTGAATTATTCTTGCAAGTAGAAGCAAATTGATACAAGTTAAATATATCTTTTCACTTTTGAATATACATGAGACCGACTATAGAATGTTTAATTATATATGTTTTTTTCTGATGCCCCCAAATCAGATAGATAGATGTGAGTTCTTAGACACAACTTCACTTAAAATAGGCTTACAATAGGAACTTTCTTACAGTAGAAACTTCACTTAAAATAGACTTAGAATAGGAACTTTCTTATAGTAGACATGTTGTATTTAGGCAATTCTGTATTTTCCTGATGATAATATATTTCTGTCAACATGTGTTTAGGTAGCTGATTGAACTTCAGATCAAATTTAAGATTGAGAAAATGTTGACTATCTAATGATGATAGTAGAACCATAAATTTGGAATTTATCTCAATAATCTCTTTAGACCATTGCCATTTTTACTTTTTCTCTCTTGCACATTTTGTTTCTTGACAGCTGTGCTTATACTACACTGTGGGCCCCTGGGCTCTGGGCTCTGGGCTCTGGGCTCTGGGCTCTGGGCTCTGGGCTCTGGGCTCTGGGCTCTGGGCTCTGGGTCTGGCCTCTGGGCTCTGGGCTCTGGCCTCTGGCCTCTGGGCTCTGGCCTCTGTGCTTTGTGCTCTGTATGATGCGTGTGCTCCTCTTAGGAGCTGGAAGAACCATGACATAGCTCTGCTTCTATTCCTTTAACTGTATGCTCTTGGGAAATGTTATTGAACTGCTTTGAGCCTTAGTTTTTTTTTACTTATGGAATAGATGTGAACACAGAGCTGTGTGGGTCAATGTGCATAATAGAGCCAAGGGAGAAAGATCAATGAAACCTAGTTGGACAGATAGGTTCCAGATATTGGGAGTTAAATTTCTTTTGAAATACTATATTTGTTAATTTTCATTGGAGTGACAAAATGCTGAAGGAGGGGCAACTTAAAGGATAAAGGATTTATTTTGGTTTACAGTTTGAGGGTCTAATCTGTCCCAGAAGAGAAAACATGGCAAGAGGAGAGGGAAGCTAGTCACAAGGAATCCGCAGTCAGGAAACAGAGTGTGACAATGCTGGTGCTCAGCCTGGTTTCTCCTTTTTTGTTCAGTCTGGGACCTCCACCCATGGATGGTGCCACCAACGTACATAATGGATTTTCTATAGTTAGAACACCGTGGAAACATCCCCATAAGTAAACAAAGAGATATGTTTCCAAGGTAACTCAAAACCCTGTCAAATTGATGATGAACATTGACCATCAATAAGTACAAATTCCCTGTAGGACTTGGAAGGAGATAAAATAATGTCAGAGCTTCTCCTGCTGATATGAATGAAGGCAAGGTTGGGGAAATCTGCTCACTCTACCTGTGCTCAGGATGGAGTCTATGCATTCTTCGATATGGATAGGTTTGTCAGCCTGGTAGATGTAAGTGTGAATTTAAGGGGTCAATCAGAGATCAGGGATGCCAGGTGAGAGAAGGTGTGTAGCCCCGGCTGTGGCAGTGGGAAGGAACAAAAGGACAATTCATGAAGTACAGTAGGGATTGGATGGAGCTGAAGGAAAGGCTGGAAACCAGGTTGCCTCTCAGATACATACATATAGGTGAAGCCATCATGGAGAAATGGCGACACAGGGAGACAGAATACAAAGGTATGGAGAAAGCTACCAGGCTCATATTTGTTGACCATGGGATTCATGTGACACAGTTAGCCACACGTGTTCATGAGGCTTGGGACAAATGAATCTGAAACCCTAGGGCAGCTTAGAACTGGAGCAGGTGCCTTCTAATCAAGAGGGTCTATGGGAGTCAGGTGTCAGTTCTAGGAGAGAAGTAGAGTAAAAGCAGCTAGTGCCAGACGTGTGATGCCAACATCTGTAAAATGTTAGAAAAGGAGCGACTTATGGAGAAGACTGGAAAGGCGAGGCCCTTTTCGGGGAGTGCATGTGGGGTTACACAGAAGGTAGTAATCAGAAGCCAAGGAGATACTGAGTGAGAACAGGGATGCCAGGGATCATAGCAAGCACTCCGGTGCTGATGGTCCCAAGACCCATGGTTCTCTCGCTCTCTTGTATCATCTTTCTCTTGGACTTGAGAACCCAAGAGCCAGAGACGTAGAACTAAGTACTTCAGTAGAGATATTTATAATATGTTCAGTTCTGTGACCTTCACGTGACATCATTTCTCTTAGATCTGAGAGGAGGATAGTCGTTAAGGGATTATATGACTTCTGAAAAATGTGGATAATTCTAAGGGGTTTTGCATTTCTATTAGAATTTCTTCCAATTGTATTTTCTGACTAGAATGATTCTATATTGCCATCATTGTTGAGGCCATTTTGGGGGAGCTAGGAAGGCAACTGAGCAATGATTTTAAGGAGGTAATATAAGGAGATCATAGAGGCCTATAGGGGGAGGTGTTAGAAGGGACCAGCGGCTCAGCTAGCTCCCGCCCTCCGCCATGTTCCTGCTCTAAGTTCCCACACTAACGGCCACAGAGGCGCCACCCTGGGACCCACGAGATATGGCTGCTGCCTCTGCCGGTCAGCTCCGTGGACCCCACGGCTCTAAGGATGGCCCTTGTGCCAACTCCACCACCCTCATAGTGCTCTGCTCAACCCCAGACAATATCTGCCATCCTTGCAGTATCTGGTAGAATGAAGACTCTTAAAGCTTAAAGATTATCCAATGGATTTATGTATCAGCAAATACTCAATACACAAGATGCCCACACAATTAGACTTGTTAACCCAATTACCTAACCTTGATATGTGTAACTACCTTAGACAGCTAGAGCCATGCAGACGCCCGCCGCAGTCTCTCCTCTCTCCTACTTCTTCTTCTCCTTGTTCCTTCCTCCTCCCAACTCCTGGCTCCACCTACCTCTTCTCTAGCCAATGACCAAGCTCTACTGTAAATATAACGGGCAGGAAAAACCCTGCAACAGAAGCCGTTGCTTGTTCGCTTGTTTCCAAAGAAGGCATTGTCTACCTTCTAGAATGAAATGATTTTGGGGTTGTGGGCAGGGGCCAAGTGCTAACTAACTAAAGCCTGTGAAGGATTGAGCAGGAATGTCTGCTTCAGCTGTCCTCTGAGCCGTGCTTGGAGAGGTCCTTTCTCTCTGGTCTGTGCAGTAAGATGCCTGTGGTATCTTTTCTGTCTCGGCACGTTGGCTGTACTGTATTTGGGAAATGCCACAGTTTCTATGAGTTGCAGAGACACGAGCACAATGTGGCTTTAACTTCGGCAAATTCATATCTGACTGAGGCTTCACTGAATAACATCTGTGAGCATCTCTAGGGGCTTGTCCTTCCTGCAGGATTCCCCAGGCAAACTTGCTTTGATCCCCGATGAGTTGCTGAGGGGTATGGCTGGCTGCAGTGGTGGGTTGGATGTAGACAGTCTGGCTTGACACCCAGCCAGCTGCAAGATATGTGACCTGACCCTTTTCCTGCAAAGGGAATTGTAGTCACACCTTCCTCACAGAGCTGCCATCTGGTGAAAGAAAACAGGGGAAGTAGACCCATCCTGAAATGCTTTGCTCATAGAGAGCACTCCATGGATGGATCTGTCAGGCTGATTGTGATTATGTTTCTTATTATCTAATTTTTAAGAATCTTGGCTAATGGCTCACAGGTAAAACAGTCACGAGGCCTGTCTTCCCTCCACTCAGACCTTGCACAGAGGAAACTGTAATAGTAAGAATTTGTTTTATGTGTCACAATGACTGAAAAGCCACAT